ACAGCGCAGCTGCGATGACTTTTGACCCCTGCTCGATCTAGATTTCTTGGTCGAGAAAATTTTTTCGGTCAATTTCATCGGTTAACCGAACAATTTTGCATTTAACCGATCATTACTCGACCAAGATTTTTCGCTTACTCGCACACCACTAGATGACAGCCTAAGTTCGGGGTGGAGGATCAAGAATAGCAGACCGAAAAAACTCAAAACTACACAAGGTAAAAATAAAAAGGGCGTACAAGTGGCGCCCCCCCCCCCGTTGATCGAGCCAGAACGGTTCCGTTCTAGGCTAGGAACAGTGGCTGAGAGACGAGCTAAGAGCTTGTTGAAGAGGAAGTCAAGCGAATCCAGAAAAACCTTCCTGGAGATTGAGCAATACGCAGATCCTTGTTGTAATAATGTTTTAGGAGGGGAATTTTCATTGCGAATATATGTACATGTACTGTTTATACAGTAGATATACCCTTGTGCACAAACTGTCCAGTTACCCACGCACTCACGCACACGCACGCACGCACGCATGCTCATACAGATACAACGCGTGCGTACAAACACGCCCCAGCGCGCGCAAGCAAACAAACACACACGAAAAACAAGCTATTGCGCAAACTCATGTACACACACACACACACACAGGACAGCGCCCTCCCTCCCACCTTTCCACATCCCCCACAATAGGCCTAGTAGCCTAGACCTAGGCCTAGATTCAAGCAACAGATTTCAGATAAGCGAGTACCACGATGCGACACATTATGTGTGTACGTGTGTGTGGGAGAGTGCGGTTGTCATGCTTTGCGCGCCGTGTGTCATCCAGCGCGCGCCGTGTGCCATCGAGTAGTAGATAATGTCTGCGTAAAGCGAGGGGTGATCGGTGGGAGAGTCCATGTCCCCGCTTGATCTTCGCTGCCACTCAGTAACTCACAGAACAGACTGAACAGTGTGCACCTTGAGGTAAAGAGAGTGTGACAGACTTGACACAAATTGAGTCAGACTGGGCATAGTTTCGGGCATGTGTTGCTGCATGTTGTGACCTGTGGTACGGTCACCTGTGTAGATCTATACTATGACAAGAGATTGTCTTCGCCCTGTTCTGACCAGAAGCGGGGCCCTCCTGGAAATTCGATAATAAGAAGAATACAGGTAGATCTATACCAGATTTATTGTCTCGGTTCAGTAGACGGAAATTCTCGGTACATGTTATTGTTGTGGCAGATTGAATACCTCGGTATGGGCGATTAAATGTCTCACAACAGCGAAGTTGAAATCGACTCATTGTCTCAGTTCGATGGTGTAGGCCCTATGTTTGTCTGTGTGGGACGATATAGGTCAAGTGCTGGCCTTGCCTAGATTATGAACAATACTGGTCATGGGTTGCACACGGTCACTGTTTACTACTACTGCTACTACCTTCCCGTGTCGCCCGTTACCTTCCTTCTTCGGAGTGGCTTACAGGTTTTTAGCACAGTTCCTTGAGTTCACGGAGTTTTGTGACTGGTTGCTGTCTATTTAGTGGTGTGCCACAGCAGGATGTTGGTTCATTGGGACTTCAAGCAACTGGTGAACAGTGTATTGAGACAGATCTATAACTGGTGAGGGGTTTTTGAAACAACCTGTGTGCCATTGATAGCTTGAAACATGGATTTATTGATTGAAAGAACTGATGATCTGTTTTCTGGGAACATTGGTGTTTCGTTCTTTGAGACTCGAGAGAGTTGGTGGTAGTTATATCCAAACACCTGATACGAAGTTCACTAGGACTCCAGGTGATTAGTTGGATGTGACAACTGTTGATTATGACTGATGGTTGAATTTCTGAAAGAGACAACTGGTGATTGGTCAATTGAGACGACCGATGGTTGGATTTCTGAAAGAGTCAATCGGTGATTGGTTAATAAAGGCGACCGATGGTTGGATTTCTGAAAGAGAGAACTGGTGATTGGTTTGTTTAGACGACTGATGGTTGGATTTCTGAAAGAGACAACTGGTGATTGGTCGATTGAGACGGCCGATGGTTGGATTTCTGAAAGAGACAATCGGTGATTGGTCCGCTGAGACGGAGGCAATTGATGATTATATGCACAGAGTAGGGCAACTGGTGATTTGTCAAATGAGTAAGTCTTTTGGTTCATCATGTGTTCATGAAGTCACATTGTGTAATTGTTTTGTAGGTTAGCAATCCCAGAAGGATGACCAAGAGCTGGGATATCAGATCTTGATATGTGAATGAGCAGAGTAAAACTGTTCGTGGACACGACTGAGAAGTCTGTGCCACTGAGCTACACACCGGTCAGTGCTGACGAAGGTGATCACGTGATTGCAAACAGTGTTCGTCCGTCATCATGGCTGATGTCACGGAATCAGCTGGAGAGAATGGTGTTGAGTATTCAAGCGCGCTGCACGCTTGTCCAGAAGGGCTCACACTACAGGATGCTCGTACACATTCGTCAATACCCACTTCTGACATGTACGAATTGCATGACCTTGACTTTGACGTTTTTACGCGAAACGTAGGTTGGCGCGCCAGCTCAAGGGATGATGGACGAGTCAACCACGGATTCTCTTTTGGGGAGTCGAGCTTTTCGGTGGGCACTGATGACCACGGGGCTGACAGCGATCACAAGAAGGAAGAGGACGATGAGGAAGAGGAGGACGCACGTATCAGCCAAGCATATGTAACAGAGGCCAATGCTCACACCCCCGCCCCCAGTCCAAACTTCAGAGGCAGGAGACAGGTTTTATCTCACAGGTAAGATCCACTATATTATGGCTAGAAACACCATACAACACAGGTGGGATACACTATATGGCTAGAAACACCATACAACACAGGTGGGATACCCTTTACACTGGCAAGAGGCACTATATCACACATGTGTGATACGCTATACATTGGCTAGAGACACACTATCTAGGCCTAGATTCAAGCAACAGATTTCAGATAAGCGAGTACCACGATGCGACACATTATGTGTGTACGTGTGTGTGGGAGAGTGCGGTTGTCATGCTTTGCGCGCCGTGTGTCATCCAGCGCGCGCCGTGTGCCATCGAGTAGTAGATAATGTCTGCGTAAAGCGAGGGGTGATCGGTGGGAGAGTCCATGTCCCCGCTTGATCTTCGCTGCCACTCAGTAACTCACAGAACAGACTGAACAGTGTGCACCTTGAGGTAAAGAGAGTGTGACAGACTTGACACAAATTGAGTCAGACTGGGCATAGTTTCGGGCATGTGTTGCTGCATGTTGTGACCTGTGGTACGGTCACCTGTGTAGATCTATACTATGACAAGAGATTGTCTTCGCCCTGTTCTGACCAGAAGCGGGGCCCTCCTGGAAATTCGATAATAAGAAGAATACAGGTAGATCTATACCAGATTTATTGTCTCGGTTCAGTAGACGGAAATTCTCGGTACATGTTATTGTTGTGGCAGATTGAATACCTCGGTATGGGCGATTAAATGTCTCACAACAGCGAAGTTGAAATCGACTCATTGTCTCAGTTCGATGGTGTAGGCCCTATGTTTGTCTGTGTGGGACGATATAGGTCAAGTGCTGGCCTTGCCTAGATTATGAACAATACTGGTCATGGGTTGCACACGGTCACTGTTTACTACTACTGCTACTACCTTCCCGTGTCGCCCGTTACCTTCCTTCTTCGGAGTGGCTTACAGGTTTTTAGCACAGTTCCTTGAGTTCACGGAGTTTTGTGACTGGTTGCTGTCTATTTAGTGGTGTGCCACAGCAGGATGTTGGTTCATTGGGACTTCAAGCAACTGGTGAACAGTGTATTGAGACAGATCTATAACTGGTGAGGGGTTTTTGAAACAACCTGTGTGCCATTGATAGCTTGAAACATGGATTTATTGATTGAAAGAACTGATGATCTGTTTTCTGGGAACATTGGTGTTTCGTTCTTTGAGACTCGAGAGAGTTGGTGGTAGTTATATCCAAACACCTGATACGAAGTTCACTAGGACTCCAGGTGATTAGTTGGATGTGACAACTGTTGATTATGACTGATGGTTGAATTTCTGAAAGAGACAACTGGTGATTGGTCGATTGAGACGGCCGATGGTTGGATTTCTGAAAGAGACAATCGGTGATTGGTCCGCTGAGACGGAGGCAATTGATGATTATATGCACAGAGTAGGGCAACTGGTGATTTGTCAAATGAGTAAGTCTTTTGGTTCATCATGTGTTCATGAAGTCACATTGTGTAATTGTTTTGTAGGTTAGCAATCCCAGAAGGATGACCAAGAGCTGGGATATCAGATCTTGATATGTGAATGAGCAGAGTAAAACTGTTCGTGGACACGACTGAGAAGTCTGTGCCACTGAGCTACACACCGGTCAGTGCTGACGAAGGTGATCACGTGATTGCAAACAGTGTTCGTCCGTCATCATGGCTGATGTCACGGAATCAGCTGGAGAGAATGGTGTTGAGTATTCAAGCGCGCTGCACGCTTGTCCAGAAGGGCTCACACTACAGGATGCTCGTACACATTCGTCAATACCCACTTCTGACATGTACGAATTGCATGACCTTGACTTTGACGTTTTTACGCGAAACGTAGGTTGGCGCGCCAGCTCAAGGGATGATGGACGAGTCAACCACGGATTCTCTTTTGGGGAGTCGAGCTTTTCGGTGGGCACTGATGACCACGGGGCTGACAGCGATCACAAGAAGGAAGAGGACGATGAGGAAGAGGAGGACGCACGTATCAGCCAAGCATATGTAACAGAGGCCAATGCTCACACCCCCGCCCCCAGTCCAAACTTCAGAGGCAGGAGACAGGTTTTATCTCACAGGTAAGATCCACTATATTATGGCTAAAAACACCATACAACACAGGTGGGATACACTATATGGCTAGAAACACCATACAACACAGGTGGGATACCCTTTACACTGGCAAGAGGCACTATATCACACATGTGTGATACGCTATACATTGGCTAGAGACACACTATCACACTGGTGAAAGACACTATACAGTATATATATATATATATATATATATATATATATATATATATATATATATATATATTTATATTTATATAGGCCCCTACATAATACACAGCTGGTATGTATATTTGCTCATGTCTGAGATACATGTTATACACGGGAACGTCAGACAATAGAGTTTGAAAGCGTGCCTTTATTTACTTAAGCTCAAACCCTACGGGTCGGTAGAGGGCGCCACTGGTAGGCCCTGTTTCTTTTGTTTCCTGCTGATGTTCCGCATTCTCTTTCCTGAAAAAAAATGGTGAGATGGTATAGGTTTAACGTCCCTATTATCAACACAATTGGGTTATTCAAGAGGCTGAACCCCGGAGTTTGACGTCTATCTCCGAAATGACCGTGCCAAATCGGAAATTCATGAAAAGTGCCATTCCCAATGATGACACAACGTCGGACCGAGCTGAGGCTCGAACCCCTGAACCTGCAATCTCACGATTCAGGGTCCGATAGACTAACCTGTTTTTCTTGGTCTATTACAATGACTTGTTATTGTGTCGACTTTTCTTTACTCGCACTGAAACAAGCTCTGGTCCTGGTACACCATAGTTCGTGTGTTCACTTGGGGTGACATCGCAAGACTCGAAGTAGATCTAAGTCACCGTAGTAAGTCAAAGGACTCAATGATGACGCCGTCATGGGTATCCTCCATATGTGGTGTTCCTCGATGGTGAAATCATTTGAGTGACTTCAGTGACTGAATTCTAACAATCGAATGAAACGTTTTTGAGACGATTTAAAAAAAAATTAACGATAAGAAATTATTGAAATGTTCTTTAAAGAGGTTGGTAAGTTAAGTAGCCAAAATATTGTGTAAAATTACGCCTTCGACGTAATCGTTATACATGTATTATATGCCTATATATATATAATTATCAATATCCGCAGCGCTTATGTGCTTACAGTGGAAAGATACCACATACAACTTGATTTAAAAATTGTTGTGGCTTTTGGTGCGTGAGGATGTTCTCTGTATATATTAATATAAGTGGTTTGAGTTATTTATAGATTCTCCTGTGGTCGTTCAAACAATCGATCTTGCCTTTATAGAGACGCCATCTGTGTATCTATCCACGTCTTTCAGTGTTGCCGGCGGCAAGTCTCTGAATCCCAGAGACTTAATTAATTAATGATCTTGTCTCTTACGGCCCGCCAAGTTCAGCGGAATGTCGTAGCCTTGGTGAAAACGAATAAACGTTCTGGAAATAAACCTACACTGTACTGTCATTACCTTTTCCCTTTACCCCCCCCCCCCCCCCCCCCCCCCCGGGGCAATGCTACCAACTGAAGTGTCTTCAGGCCATTCCCAAAGGGGGGACATTCACATGTTCTTGTGCACAGTAGAATTGTTAATGGGCTGACTCATCAATAGTATGCTCATAACTGTGCCTGAACTGCAACAGGGCACTGCTGCTTTTTCTTTCCTAATCCTTACTATCGTTTACTTCTTTTGTAGGTTTATCCCTCTCTTGTGACCCGCTATTTCCGGGGTGTCTTGATAGTCGAAGCAGCCTTTGTGCTGTTGAAGCTAGAGAGGTGAGCAGAGTAAGCCTGATTCCCTGTATGGACTTCTATGTTGACATCCACCCTTTGGCGCTCATATGACTTTATGCAGTTGCAAGCGCCGTAAAAAAAACTCTACTAAAACTAAAACTAAACCCTTTCCCTTCATGACTGTACGGTGTTTATTATTCTATTTTGTCTGTTTGATGGACAGATAGTACAATAGATAGCGCCAGGTGAACTGACACACCGTATGGCGAAGGGGTAAAAGTGAGTACAACCCTTCATGTCTTTGCACATCACAAAGATGTGGTATCAGTGGCCAAGTGATTAGACTCTCGGACTGGCAACCATAAGGTTGTGGCTTCTTTTTTTTTTTGGTAAGTGTTTTACGGCACTCGCAACTGCATAAGGTCATATGAGCGCGCGGGACACGTTAAACTTATTCAGGTGGAAGGAAATTCTGAATTTTGCCCGGGTGGCGGCTGAAGCCTACTCTTATCGCCTACACCAAGGGATCTTTAACGTGCGCAACTTGCTCACGGGCCCTCCGAGATTTTTTGCCCTTGTCCGAGAAGGCTAGTTGTAGATCTTTCCTACCAGAAGATCAGGGGTGTGGCTAAAAGACAGCAGTAAGAAGGAGCCCAAGTAGTTGCAGTAGAAAGGCTGCAGAAAGAGTCGGGAGCCCAGAGGAGGGGGCAAAGGAGGTGAGGGTGTGGGGGCAGAAAGAGGAGGCGAGAGCAGACGACATAATATTGTTACAGAGCAGGAAAGGAGGTGAAAGGAGACAATTTTAGAGAAGAAAAATGTTCGTTCGCTACCCGGATTTGAACCCGGGACCTTTGAAATGAGAGGCCAACACCTTAACCTCTAGGCCACGAGAGCTCCCGGTTGAGGCTTCGAATCCCGTCAAGGACCCGACGTTGTGTCCTTGGGGAAACGCACATTACTTGAATTGTTCTCGCTTCACCAATTTGGCAATGGGTACCCGGCTAAAGATAGACTAACAGAAAATACGTTTGTTCGTATTTGAGCGTGTGCAATCTCGGCAAACCGAAAATATTCCTGAGTGTTGTAGGGCCTGCTGGGGTATTAGTAGTTGTAATGCGCATAGAGCTGCAGAGCGTGGATATGTGCTATATAAAAACACAATATTATTATTTATTACGTTCACAACCCACTGTTTCCTTCTCCTGCCAGACATGGCTTCAACCTCAACCCACACCGTAGCGCCCCCCCCCTCATGATCAATGATCAATAATGACTCCCAGATGTTGCTGACTAGGTCAAGCAGTTAGAGATGGAGACTGTACTTTACTTTTATTCATAGGGACACTCTCAGTTGTCAGTTGATCTCTCACACCTTAACCTTGCAGTCAAAAGACTTCAGCGTCTTCCTCAAACTTCTGGAGAGATGCAAGCTTATAAAATGGATTCTGGCACAAACCACAGGCGTCTGAGATGTGATGCAACGGCTTGGATCTTTGCGTTTGCTCGCAGATGATGTGAGTTTGTTTCCCGCTTGGGGAAGCTTGTTTTATGGAGTAGCCTACACGTCTATCGGAATGTTGTATTATACCCACCCCCGGTTTGCCCTGACAGGCAGGGTCGAATCAACTCGCCTTCTAACTAGTCCGAATTCTGTCGAAGGAGACGTAAAACATTTACATTAAAAAACAGGAACTTGAGAATTCACCAATGTTACTCTATTTTCATCTGGAACGAAAACAAACAATAGGGAGAAAACAGTCCGCTTCTGCCCTTCGTCGGTTGCTGAATTAGATGTTATAAAACTACATGTAACCAAAGATGCTGTCTTTGATGTAACTACGCTTTGGTTCTATCGGCTGGATAAACTCAAAGTGTGCAGAAATTAATACCTGCTCTGTTCAGCTATTTTGATCTCCTTCACTGTTAATAACTGTGGTAGTTTGTCAACGACAAATGCACGTCTTGCATCGCTAGCGCAGCGCTGTCTAAATGTTGTGTCCTCGACGAAAAGACACACACATATATATATATAAATATATAAATATATATATGTATTACTATGCACAAGTAAGCCAAGTACTAGATACACGTCTGACGTTAACGTGGTAAATTTCTGATAATACATGTGTGTAGGTACCGTACCGTACGCGTGTAGGCCTTCATGTTCAATCACCATCATGGTGTAGTGTATGTCTTTATCTGTCTGTCTATCTATCTATCTATCTATCTATCTATCTATCTATCTATCTATCTATCTATCT